TAAAATATAGTTTATTCTATATAATATATAATTATAATTTAATTTTAGATCTAATTATTAAGAATAGTAATTTTAAAAAAAAAGATATTAATATCGAAAGAATATATAAAGAAGATTTATATATTACGCGAGTCGCTAGCGAATAAATAGCGTAAACTTATTAAATCGTAAGCGAAGATTTATAATAAGAAATATTAGTTTTAAGTATTTAAGAAAGAAGACTTAGTAATATTATTAACGAAAAATCTTAAATAAAAAAGATCGAATAAGAAGCTTTTAGATAAGGCTATTAATTTATTTATTATTTAAAATCATATTAAAATCTAGATATATCGCTTGATATTACTATCTATCTATCGAATTTATAACATCTTTTATATATCTCTTCTAGAGCTTTATAAGCGTAAAATTAATAATAATAATATATCTAAATATATTACTCTAGAATTTATTAATAATATTAAAGAATAAGAAGTAGAAAAGATATTAAATAAGCGTAAGTGAAAAGACGAAGTAAAGTATCTAATTTAATAGATTAAATATTTTATCGAATATAACTAGTAGATTATTAAGAAGAATATAGAATATATAAATATAAGCGAAGAGTATAATAAATATAGATATAAAAAAGGGCTTAAAGATTAACGATTTTAAAAATAATCTAAAAAATTATAAGTAGTAAGATCTAATATACTCGAAGATATAATAATAATAAATATATATAAAAATCTACATATCCGAAGATATAATATAGTTATCGAAATTAAATTAAAAATTATATAGATCGAAGCTCTAATATAGATAGAATATAGCTAAGATCTTATAATTTAATTTAATTATATTATCGAAGTAATAATAGTCGCTATATTTTTTATTTTTTTATTTTTATTCTAATTCTCGAAAGAAGAAATAAAAGAATTATATCTATTAGGCGATTTTCTAGATAAGCGAGATAAAGGCGAGCTAGTAGATATATAGATAGTAGATTTACGTAAAATAATATCGTCGCTTAAATTGCTATTATTATCGCTATTAATAGATTTAATTAAGCTTATACTTAGCGATATAAAAAGATTAAAAGATAAATAATTAAGAGAAAGATAGGTCGTTCTAGATATATAATTAATATATATATTATATTCGCGAAATATATTATAAGAATATAAGTAATTATCGAGAAATATATAATATTATATATCTCGATTATTATATCTAGAATATTTTATAAAGTTTTTATTTAATTTAATTAAATTATAATAAAGTTAGACTTTTTATATCTTTTAAAATAGTTTAATACGCGTTAATATTACGTTAATATTACGTTTATAATTATAATAATATTTTTTAATTATTAAAGAGTAATAAAAAAGGGTTTATTAGATTAAAGCTCGCGTAATATAGTATATTAATAGCGCGAATAAGTATATAATATAGCGTTTATAATGTCGATAATCTCGAGATAAATAAATATCTTTTAAGAATAAAATTAATTAATATTTTATATTTGCTAGAAATCTAAATAAATAGTATAATTATATCGAGATATAGTTACTATACTAATAAGTATAAATATTATAATTCTTAAATATATTTCTATACTTATTAAAATAAGTATTATAAATTTTAAGATTATATTTAAAATCGCGATAAATATAATAATAATAAATTTTTTTTTAAAAGAAGATATAAGGCTAGCGGAGCGCGTAGTAATTAACTATTAAGCGAGTTATAAATATATTAAAAATATCTTTATAACTCTAGCTATTATATTTATAAGAATAATAATTATTTTAAAATCTAATAATATATAAAGAGAATATAAAAAGATAGCGTTATCTATATACTTTAGATTTACGAAATAAACGATTAATATAATATCTAACGAAGTATTAATAAAGAAAAAACTTTAAATAAAATAAAGAAGTTATACTTAATAGTATTTATAAACTCTAATAATCGCGAGCTTTAGATATTTATAAATATATACTACGCGGTAATATAATATATCTTAATAATAATAATAATAATAATTAATTTTAATAATAATAAATAATAAATTATTAATAATAGACTCTATATATATAATTATTCTACGATATTTTATAAAAGTAATATAAGAGTATATATATTACGTAGCTTTTATAATTTATAAATTAATATTATAATATTTAAGAGTAATATTTAATATTTTAAAAAGTTATAAATTATATTATATTAGTATATAGCTAATCTAGAAAAAACTCTTTCTTTTATATTCTCTTTAGAGTTTAAAAAGTTTTAGTAAATCTTTTTAATATCTATAATTTAGATATAATATAAATTTAAAAATAAATTGTTAAAGAGAGAAGATAATATTAATTAAGATTTTTAAAGGGAATTTAATTATTAAGCGAAGTTATAGTATAGCTAAGACTTTTAGCGTATATAGACTTAATATAAAAGCTTAAGAGGGCGATACCTCTATTTTTTTTCTTACTTTTATAAAAATTAGTTTTATTATAAGATCTATATATAAATATATATATATCTATTACTATATAATTCTAAATCTACTTATACTTAATTATATAAGTCTATCTAATACTTTTTAAATTTTAAAGTTATTTTAATTACTCTAAATATATATAGTAATAAAGACGAGGTAATAAGTAAGAATAAAGTCGAATTTATAAATATTAGATAGTCGTAATAGACGAATAATATACAAATAAAAGATCTTATTTAAATCTTTCTTTATACTTATATATATAAAATAATTAATAGCTATCGAATATATATAAAAATAATATATTATATAATTACGAGTAAAGGTCTATAAATTAGATTTATAATCTTTTTTATAATTAGGACTATCGAGTAAATTTAATAAGCGGTCTTTAGTAAGCGATCTTTAATAAGCGATATTTAAATTTCTTATCTTTAAAGAACTATAAGACTAAGTTTAATAATTCTTTTTTTATCTAAAAGCCTATATTACGTTTTATAATTTAAAAGAAAAATCTCGAAATTTTAATAGAAAATAAAAAAGTTATTCTAAATTCGAATAATATATATCTATTTTTTAATTAGAGCTATCGAGCGAACTTTAATAAGCGATATTTTTTTAATAATTACGAACGCTAATTTATTTACTCGCGATAACTTAGTCGATTTAATTAAAGAGCGTAGTAACTCTAAATTTATAATTAACTATATATATAAATTTAAGATTTTTAAGCTTAACTCTATCTTATTCTATTATATATATTAATAATTATAAACGTTTTTATTCTTTTTAATTAAATTAACATATATATAAGCTAATTTAACGAAGTATTTAATCTTAAAAATCTAAAAGAGGATTTACTTAAAGTATTTAATATTTATATTTTAAAATCTTTTAGTAATATTAAGAAAGAGCTTCTTATCTTTTAAATAACGAAAGAAAATCTCTCTTTTTTTCTCTTAATTCGACTTAGAGTTAAATAAATTCGAATTTAATATATTTAAATAATAATAATAATAACTATAATTATAGCGATAATAGTAGTAATATAATTTATAAATTCGATCTTTATAATAATAGCGATAATTTTACTTCTCTTATAATAGATAAAGACGTTTTCTTAATCTTATTTAAGTTAATAATCTTCAATAATATTATATATATAAGAATTTTCTTATAGAGAAAAGATATTTTAATCTTAATAGTCTTTTTAGCTTTAAGAATCTTATTAATTATATTAAAGATCTTTTTAATAATCTTAAAAACGAAGATAACTCGTTTAATCGCTTTTTTAAATTTAATAATAATAGCGAAAGCTATTATAAAGTATATATAAATATAGAGTATATTTATAATAATTAGAAAAGATTAATTTATATAAACTTTATTATAAAAAGAAGAATAATAATATAACTTTAATAGAGAATAATTTAAATAAAGAGTTTATTATTAATATAATAATTATATAAATAATATTTATTATATTTATCTATCTCTCTATTATTATATATTATATAATAATAAAAAAATTAATTAAATAGCTATTAACGCTATAATCTTATAATAAATCTCTTAATCTAAAGTTTTATTATTATAATTAATATAGCGTAAAGAAAATAATTAAAAGAATATCTATTACTTAATATATTTAAGTAATATATTTAATTAATAATAATATATTAATAAAAGATAGTAATTAGCGTCTTAGATTATATAATATTATAAGACTATATAAACTTATTATATATAAGATACGATTTTAAATAAGAGTTAGATAACTATATAATACGTTTATTATATATTACGAAAAAGCATATCTTATCGCTAAAACGTAGCGTTAAAAGAGTGTGAACCCCTATCTAAATAGCAAGAATCTCTTAAAGTACACTATATTCGTAATAATTGCACACTTCGAAAAATAGCGCATCTCCCTATACGCTGGCCTATATGTATATCGTATATAGAAACCCTCTAGATATAATTCCGTAAGCTACTTATAGCTTAACGCGCAGCTAAAAAAAGCACGAAAGTTATAAGCTTTAATCAAATTTAAGTGCAGTCAAGTAAACCTATTTAGACTGTTCGAGTTACACCCGAAATCGAACCGGTGTTGCTACTATTTGTCACGGAAAAGCGTGCCTTATCGCTAAACCGTAGCGCCAAAAGAGCGTGGACCCTTACCTGAACAGCAACTATATCCGTAACATTATATGCCAATTAAACCGGTACATGCGGTAGCGGTGAGTCATGTCCGTCTTACTGCATGAAGGATAAAGCTAAGAGCTGAGGCCGAGAGCCGCGCCGTGCGCCACCAAAGTACCCAGAAGAACCTTGGAATGCGAAGCAAACGTTTCAATCGTTAGTCGATTGTTTGCAAAGGTAATATTACTGTAAAGTATCATCATTAGGCAATTTTAATACTGACTTTCATCAGTACCTCAATCTCTCAGGCATTTAATTCTCAACGCAGCATTCATCCATCCACCTTCTCATCTTAACGCTGCTTCGATCCATTATGAAGTCAGATTTTGGTTCAGTGGTCGTGATTGGCGGCTGTGGCTTTCTCGGCCATCACATTGTCTCTCAGCTGCTGGAGCTGGAGTCTTCCGTTCAAGTCACCGTCCTTGACCTTCGAACTACCCAGAATCGCTTCCCCTCCGTGTCTTACTATGACGCAGATATTACCGACAAAGCTACCGTGCTATCCATCTTTCAAGAAGTCAGGCCCCGGGTGATCATTCATACCGCCTCCCCAGTAGTAGCCTCGTTTGAAGGAAGTAGCACCCTCTACTACAAAGTGAATGTCGACGGGACCCGCAATCTTCTGGAATGTGCCGGGCAGGTCGGACGTGTCAAGGCATTTGTCTACACGTCCAGTGCGTCAGTCATCCACGATGGTGTCAGCGACCTCGTCATGGCTGACGAGACTTATCCTGTGCTGGGCACTCCACAGCAATCAGAGATTTACTCTCACACCAAAGGCATCGCTGACGAGCTCGTTCTGGCGTCCAACAAAAAGTACGGGGGCATGTTGACTGTATCCATACGCCCCGCGGGGATCTTCGGCGAGGGGGATGTGCAGAATCTGCCAAACGTTTTGCAAGTCTATTACGACGGGAAGACCAAATTTCAATTGGGAGACAATAAGAATAGGTTTGACTTCACGTATGTTGGCAACGTCGCAAATGCGCACATACTTGCTGCGCAGAAATTGGTAGAGACATATGACCTATCGGATCCACCCCCAGAAAACAAACGTGTCGACGGGGAAGCCTTTCTCATCACCAACGATGACCCTTACAACTTTTGGACCTACGCGCGCACCGCTTGGGCTGCTGCGGGGGACAAGACGGACCCAAAGGACGTGTGGGTGATTCCAAAGAGCGTTGGCCTGATGATGGCAACGACTCTGGAGTGGGTATTTTGGCTCCTCTTCTGGGGAAGGAAGCAGCCAGGGACCACGAGGCAGAAAGTCAAGTTCAGCTGCATGACCAGAACGTATTCTATCGACAAGGCCAAGAGCAGACTCGGATACAAACCTCTCTGGGGCATGAAGGAAGGGATCATAAGGGGCGTGGAATGGTTTGAGAAACAAAGGGCAAAAGGACAAGGAGACAAAGAATCTTAGGTGGGGATTCGAGATGCCGCTGGACAACGGTCTGACACGATGTGCTTCTTGTTACCGACAGAGGCATGAAAACTGCAGACAAATGAGGTCGCGCTGTACACCGGTTTTCAAAGCCCATCTCCGACGTCACCACCGCTAGCTTTAAGCCCTCGCATGACTGCTTTCCTAAAGCTAAGATCTCAGCTCGATCAGCATCCACTTCATTCTCTCCCCCAGACATAGTCGAGATCCTTACGTTCACGAAAGCACTCGGAAAGGGAACGAGAAATGCGCGATGTTTTTCTTAGTTTAGTACAAGAGCGCATAGCTGCAGCTTCATGCAATAATCAATCAACACGCTGGACGCGTAGTTTAGAATTTTAATCAGCCCACAAGTACCCATAATCCGTACAAAGTCCATTAGGGTATGAAATCTATCACGAAGTCCACGCCAAATCGAACCGTGAAACCAATCTCAACTGATTCTCAAGATTACCACTTAAACCACAAAGCGGCCGCTGGTTCATTATGCCTCCTTTCTGCGCAATGATATCTTAACGTCAGAGCGGGGAATGGTCGCTGAGCGCCATGAGAATGTACGTCGGGCTGTATGATTTTCGAGCTCAAAATCATATCTCTCCAACACGTGCCCGACCATCATCTTGAGAGCCTCGACGGCATAGAAACGACCAGGACTAAAATCGTATTAGCTAAGCTTGTCTCTCGGTTTTGGTCACACACTTCTGCTTAACAGAGAAAAGAAAAGAAAAAAAGTCAGGAAGCTATGTGGCTTACCAAGCTCGCTTGCCCAGGCCCCATAAGGGAAATGTTCCGTCAATGTCCGTGAGAGGTCCAGGTTTCGGACAGTGCTTCCCAACAGCCCCTTCTGTGGCGAAACGAAATCCATTGAAGACATTTGGATCACTATAGTACGTCGGAGCTCGCAAGATGGCGCGCTGCGGGACGCAGGCCCAACTGCCCGTAGGTACCAACGTTCCATCAGACAATGTGTAAGGACTGAGAGCTTTACGGCGGATTGATACTACGGTTGCGAATTTGTCAGCCAAATGGTCCTGCAAGAACTTTTGGTGAGCTTGGAGTCGGAACACGTACTGCTGTCAGAAGGGTTCATCCGTGCCGACTCTTTCAGGAAGCTATCGAGTAGTGGCAGGCTGTTCGGGGACCACTGCCGCTTCTCCCCAGTTTGTGCGAGTTCTTCGCGCAGTTTCTCGATGTATTCAGGGTGCTCGCAGAGGTCGTAGAGCGCGAACACGAAGCTCTGTGAATGCTACGATCAGTGCTCCAATGTGCCTAGGATGCCATTGAGCGCTTACTCACCATTGCTAATTGGTGAACAGAGCCAAACCACAGTGCCAAAGCTTCTTGGATGATTCGTTTAGCATCCCACTGTTCTTTCTTCGGCGCGGAATCAATGATCCACTGGATGCAATCCATCTGCGAACATTAGCAATCCAGCTACGATGTCTCAAGACTCCATTACCGGTTTTTTCTGTCCCTTCTCTTCCCATGAGCGGACTCTTAGGCGTTCTTCCACAAGGGGGAACAGATATTTGAGTATTATCTTTAGTGCTCGTTGTCTTCTTGTCACAATAGAGGTGACTAACCTACCATAATCAGTAAAAAGCTTCAGGTTTCTATGCAAATGAAGACAACTTACGGGGCAAGAAACCTAGGCGTCATCTGCAATACTTCTCCAACTACGAAAATATCTTGGGGGTATTGGACAGCGGCCTCGAGAAACTCAAAATTGTTCGCTAATGTCAAGAATGAGCAGAGGGATTGTTTGGTTGTATCAGGCCTCTCACATAGCGACAGCCCAAAAAAGGCTCTACTATTGATGCGACACACTAATCTTCTTGCCATAGCGAATGTCGGCATGGTACTCCAGCCTAGTCGTCAGGAAGGATTAGTCTCGGCTACAAATTCAATGCTGCTAACGAGGATTAAGAAAATTTAATACCATTGGAATTAGGAGATGCTTCATTCATCGCTTTGAGGAGAGTATTCTCCATGGCGTCATGCAACGCAGGCATCAAATTCTTCAGGTTCTGAGTCAGGAGTGTCCGTAGGACACGAAAATGCATACTACCATTGGCATTAGCTTCGTCGTGGACGATGAAACCGTACATCGTATGTTCGGGGGAGAACATCTGCTCATGGTCAAATCATCTCTGTTGCGATGCAATGGGCAGAGAATTATACGTCTTTAGCGACCCCGTGTAGTGAGAGATGCGTCTCAGGGGCTTCGGAAAGCTCTTCGATCTGTGCTTTAGACGATACGAGGACGAGACTATGATGAGGCGTCGTCTTGACGTATTTCAAACCCTGCTCATCGAAACATGAGCGACGTTCTGGTCCTCATCAGATTGGGGGAAATGACCTGTCTATAATGTCTGTCTATCACCTTGGGTCCAGCGACATAGTATTGGTAGGTACATAGCCATCTGTCTATAATAGACGGAACGCCAATGCTTATGACCGGTCCCTACTACGAGTCAGTAACGGCGTTATCAGACGCGAAATTAGCTCACATCAGAGCCTGAAATATTCTTGATCCCCCTTGTCAACTTCCAAACGAAGAGTCCCACAAACAGACAAGTTTGTAGAATAAGGAGGTAGACCTCAGAGTCCACTTCCGATCTAGGGCGAATATGAGACATTGCTTGTAGAAGCTTGAAGCAAATTGAAAGAAAGAGTCAATAAGCAGATTTAGATCAACAGCGACGTAAATTCGGCTATAAAGTACTAGCAGGGCACAGAGTATAGTAGAAGACACGCATTTTCACAAACCCAGTCTTATCTCGGAGATATATTTGACCCAAGGCAGTCTCATCTTGAGAAGACGGAGCTGAACTTTCAAAATGCTGTGCCGGGCGATCTATGATGAAGTGTCAGCGGAAGGCCAAGGATGAAAATGCGTAGAAGCGTGATACGCCCGTACCGTTTGTATTTGCTGCCAATCATCCTTCAGGTGAGAGCTGTAAATGACCGTTACGGCGGTGTGTGCGCGAGAGGAGGAAGAAGGCGACGTATCACTAGACAATAATGGTGTGGTGATCACATGCAAAAGGCAGGCACGGCCGAGAGGCTTTCTCCGAGGCAGGCAAATATCATTGTACGCTACAGCCTGGATTGTCTCGGGAAGCGAGATACTGGCGCTACTGGTGGTAGTCCAATCACTCGAAGGGTGGTAGGCGCAAGGCTCGCGATAGTGAATCATATAGTTACTGTCTTCAATGAGCGAAAGTACCTCAAATCTCGGTCTTCAACGACGTATGATCGAAGTATTTCTTATGTCTGAGGATGATCCCTTCCCGAAGCCTAGTAGATGTGGGTACGGTTCGTTTGCTGACTCCGTCCCACCTCATCCTTCGCCGCAGCCTCCAGAGCGAGGCACGTCATGTAGAATTGGTATAGGGTGGCGGGAAAAAAAGTCTGGAAGATGTGCTCCGCCGTTCCGGGTGTAAATTGATTGGATGTCATTGGTTCCCCATTGCTGTGAAAGTTCATGCATCAAAGCGGAGAATTCAGCCCCACATCCTGCCAAGGTTATCTTTTTCTTGCCTGCATGCATACGGCTGAGGCAAAGGTCGTCGCTGTCTCGATATCGTAACAGGCAGTATAACATATTACTTTCAATAGGTACGTACTCGGTCTTGTGATCTGTCTGAACCAATGAAAATTATTGAGGTAGCACTGCCTCCACATGCATCTCCGTGTCGTGCGTGGTACTTCCAAGTATTCATGCGAAGCTGAAAATCAAGTCTTTAATCTCGCCAAAGGTATGAAATGAAACAATTGTCTGTATTTACCATCGCATTACTTACCAGCACAAGCCCTTCCAATGCTTCAGATTTTGACCGGCCAGCGTTTTCCTTCTTCAACATGCAGAAGAATCCTCATCCATTTCCTCTTCCTATCTTCATTTTATTTGAGACACTGCTTTTCCTCCCGCTACTTTTTTGTCCCTTCCCTCTTCGAGGTTTCCTCTTCTTTCCTGTCCTCTTCGCGCTGTACTGTCGAATTATCACCTCCACCACGGGCAATGCAGCTTCGGATTGGTCTCTAGCCTTGGCAATTACACCACAACTACTCAAAGCGCTCGACGTGCTATTATTGACAAACGCAGAAAGAAGCTTGAGGCGTCTGGACGCGTTAAAAGAGAATCCAGAAGCCTTTGGCACCTTCAGGAAATCATGCTGGGCATTCGAGCTCATGACTACACCGCGAGGTATTGGATGGAATTGGGAGGTGCCATATATCTGCTATGCGGGCACAGTGTCGAGAGGGTATAGATCTTCCGCTTCTACTCGATAAGGTTATGATCTAGCTTTTTCTGACAGCTTTCAAGGGCGTATATTCGCTCTCGCCTACGACGCGCCATCTGCTACTATCTCCTACTAGACCTTCTGCAGTTCAGCTGTCCTAATCTCAATCGAGGCCCAATTCCAGTGTCGCAGCCGTTGAGTACTGCCGCACTGGTACCGGTCTGGTCGTGGGCTGTGGGCGTATACCTCCAGCTGTGGCTTGTACATACAGTGCCAGCAACGATAATCGTTTGTTGTGGACTTGGAGAGCCTAGCTCGTACCCATACGTCATGGGTCCGATAGGATTCATGAGCTCATTGCGCTCCTTCTGGGGTCGTACGTGGCATCAAGCGGCACGCCGAGTGATATCCACCCTCGGTCTTTGGCTGCGCGGACAGACTGATACGGCACCACAGGGTTCACGTGCTAGTGCGTACATTCAGCTCTCTACGGGGTTTGCAGTGGGCGGTGCAACGCATGCAATCGCGGGGTTCATGGCGGGAAAGCACGTTGGGTGGCGAGATCCGACTGGTGCGATGCCCTTTTTCTGCCTGCAGCTAATGGGTGTAGTCTTGGAGGATGGGATGTTCGAGATACTACTGGCGATCGGAGTACTGGGGGAGGACTGGAGAAGGGGACATATGGACGTTGGGAAGGAAGATTATGGTACCAGGCATGGCCGGTGGAGGTTTGAATCTCGGTCGCAGGCAATAGGATACTTGTTAGTGGTGGGCTGGCTCAGCGTAACAATGCCGGCATATGTCGAAGGGCTGCGCAGGACTGGAATCTTAGAGCCCAACCTTGTGCCATTCTCGATTGTGTCTTGGGTGACGAATGGGACTAGGCACATCTAGTCCGTCTGTATATATTTGGTTGCGTAGCGACGCGAGGCTTTCCCCGTAGCTGTGAATGTTTGACAGCTAGATACCCAATGAAAGAACAAGAAGATTGCGAGGGTGCAATGATTCCCAAGGGTCCAAGCCCGCCTATCACCTGCTTGCTGCAATGCAGGTGAGACGCCGCCGCATGCAGGAGGCAGACATATACCGGCTGGATTTCCCCCACCATTGCCCTTTATTTTATTCTCATAAATACTGTAGTGTCCTGGCTGCACGCAACGAGGTCGATCAAAGGCTGAAAAAATTTCGTGATCATACTTACTGACCTACAGCCAATTTTACTTTCTTGATTCGATTTGCGCGTCCGTGAATGAAGCGAAATGCTCGGCCCATGGATCGACCTTTTCAGGCGGTGGCTATACAACCCCAATGTCATCTCCTTCAGCAGCGTCATTGCTGCACCGTATTGTCCTACTCTTTGGCTGTTCTTGCTACTATCTGCAGCGTTGTTGACCTGGCGGCTGTGGAAGTTCACGCTTTGGCCTCTATTCCATCCTAAAGAGATCCCAGAATTGCCCTATTGGATTCCGTGTAAGAGAAACACCTATGCAGATTTGGTTGTGTCCGCGTTCCTTGGTCTCTGGCGACTTGGACATATCACTAATCTAAATTGATATAGATCTAGGTGAATAATCTGACCTGTCATATTTCTCGTTCAGACAACGGAGAATGTTCTGCTCATACCACGCTTAGGCCACGCGATTTCTTTTTTCAAGGACTCACATGGAACACTTACGTATGGCCGGTAAGCGCGAGACCCTCTTTCGGTGAAGCAGAAGAAAGTTTAATACAGGTACTGTTATAATTAGAGAGTACTTCCACAACACTCGTCGACCTTTTCGATTGACTCTCGCCGGAGAAAACCTCTACGTTCTCACATCACCCCACGATGTAGCAGCTGCATATAAGGAGACTGAATCTCTCACTTTCGACCAGTTTATCAGAGACATCATGGTAGCTTTTGGTGCTAGTCCTGGTGCAATCGAAAAAATGTGGCTACTCCCAAGCAACGATAAACACGGTTTTAACACCCAGGTTAAAAATCCTAGTCAAAAATCCCTTGCTCAGCTCACACGAGACTTTCACAAGCAGCAGTTGCACCCAGGCCAGAACCAAAGGTCGTTAAGTGTGAAATTCCAAGACTACATTGACGAGTCTTTACGTTGGGACAGCATGTCAATCAAACTTAACGACAAGTACACCCTCAGATCAAGCGAAATGTCTAAGGACATATGGCTCAAAGGATGGTGCGCAGATGTTTTGTTGAATGCTGCAACGCGGGCATTCTATGGTGAATCTCTTCTTCAGAACCAACCAGATCTGTTCCGAGAATTTTTTGATTTCGACGACAACAGCTGGATGCTAATGTACCGTTACCCACGTTTCATGGCTTCAAGCATGTATCAAGCCAAAGACGCAGCAATCGATGCCTTGACGCAATATTTCGCGACGCCCAAGGGAAGCAGACGGGGCGAGGCATGGTTCATCCGGACCTTGGAGGCAGAGCAAAGACAGTTGGGTATTGGTGATCGGGACATAGCAACACTGAGCCTTATGGTGTACTGGGTGTAAGTTGTTTATAACTCTTTCTGCACGCACCAGAGTGGCTTGGGCCATCAGAAGAACGATTGCTGACTTCGACAGGGTCAACTCTAACACGTACAAACTCTGTTTTTGGATACTTACCTATCTCCTCCACGATTCCACACTTCTAGCCCTGATCCGAGAAGAAACAAGTCATGCTTTCACAACAACCGGAGAGCTCTCTATGACATTTCTGCTCGATTCTTGTGTCCGCCTCAACTGCCTTTTCGACGAGGTGCTCCGTATAACTAATTCTTCATCGTCCGTTCGAAGCGTCGTCTCCGACACCATTATTGGCGACTTTGTTCTCCGGTCAGGCGCGAAAGTCCTCATTCCTTACCGTCAGCTTCACTTCGACGAGGCAATTTTCGGTACCAATGCGCAAGAATTCGACAGTGGGAGATTCTTAAGACAGAGGAATCTCCACCAAAGTCCCAATTACCGACCGTTCGGAGGAGGGTCGACCTACTGTCCTGGAAGGTTCATCGCGCGGCAGGAAGTAGTTGCATTCGTGGCGTTTGTTTTAAAAAGATTTGAGTTGGAAATCCCTAATGCAGAGAAAGATGGTATTCCAAACACGTTTCCACGATTGGAAGAGATGAAGCCTTGTCTTGGGGTCATGGGACCTGTACAGGGAAACGATCTAATCGTGAGGATTAAACGACGAATGTGCACTTAGAATGGTGTTTCGAATTGATACAGCCTTTTACTATCCAGGCCATCTGCATCGCTTGCCGAGCGGTTTTGTGCCTGTGGTGCCTTTTGTCTTCCTATTTGATGGCCTGGTCAGCTGCGTGCGAACAAGAGGAGCGACCGAAATAAACGCTTTACTAAAGAGAGCAACAAGAAACAATAGTGATGAGTTATCTGATTGGACGGTTAAAGCTGGTCAAGAAATGCATACATGGCCTTTCGGAACGATGTCATGTGTAGTCGCGGTCAGCATTGATCCATGTCATGCTACCTAATACAATCCTACGGCTCAACCTCCTGCAGATGGATAATTGATGTGCAGGGCAAAATAAGGCAAAAACAAGGCATGGACCGAGGGTCGGGTACAAAAGTCTCTTTGTACCCGACCCTCGGACCGGACTACCCGACTCCATTCCATCCCCCAAACTTACTGCCCGTTCTCCGTTCTCCGTTCTCCGTCCCACGTCAGCACTGATGCACGCCAGCTCATGCTTTGGGCTTGGAATCCTTGTAAATTCTGTAATTAATTGTGACTCTCCATGCGGGTGACACAAGAAAGTCCGCACCTTATTAAGCCGTCTGACTGCAGCCAATTTCAAATGTACAGAATGAGAGCCGTCTGACTGCAGTAAAGCTGGAATTTGCAGCATAAGAGCCGTTTAATTCTAGTCGAGTTGAAATGCGTAGCATGTGAGTCGTCTGACTGCAGCAGGTTTGAAGTCTTTAATGAAAGGGGGGTGCGCGCTTTTTTGTCACCCGTGTGCTTTCTTGTAATCTCTCTGTAATTCTTTTCTCGTCCTCAAACTTGATCCTAGCCTCGCCTAAGTTACGCAGGCAACTCGCCAGCCTCGCTAGCCTGCAGATCAAAAGCGCCTGGCGAATCTCAATTACCCAGAATGTGGCCCTTCTTTCCCACCATTTTCGGTAAGAGGTGTTAATTTAGCCTGGGGTTGAATGTGAGAAGGCTACTATTCCCAGCGCTTGTGACCATCAACACTCCTCTACCTCAGAGCCCCACTTCTGCGGTTTTGTATCCCCCCCTCGCCTACTGCGTTCAGACTCGAATTCGACACACAATGCAATCAACCCATGTTCTACGTGGGGCCTGGTCCCTTTGGCACTCATGCGTGGGTTCTGGTCCGGTAGCGATGGGTATGAATCCGATATTGCTCCCAAACGCGAGTAGAGCGAAAGCTTCAGCTGACCGTTTCTAGTCCTGGCTCTTGTGTTCTGTTACCAGTCTCTTTATATTGCGTTCTGGATCGTCAAAGTTTGCAAGCACTCTTTCCGGTCCACGAGTTCCGAAGCGAGCGGCTCTGAGCTTGGCGTCCAGCGGTATCAGAACTCGCAGGAGCTCTTTCTCTCATTGTTTTACACGATGGAAGTGCCTCTGATCGCATCATACCATCCCATGATTCCAAATCCGAGTTGCGTGTGTGAAGCGAACGTTGTCCCGAGCGACTACCAGCTCATCTGCCAGACTCTGGTCTTTGTCACTGTCGACTACCTCATGCATCCATTCTTCCTCAAGTATTATCCGCTCTATTCGATAGAGGAGCCGATGAATGCGTCTGGTCTTGCCACTGATATTACGGTTCAACAAGCGATTCTGGTGTTAGCGATAGGGGTAATCCAGTGGTCAAATAGAGGCGGATATGGTGAGGGCTTTGGCCAACTGCATATTGTTGCCATAGCGGGATGGGTACTGTTTCAACAGCTGTCCAAGGTCAGTAAGCTGGGTTCTTTAGACTCCATCGTTGTTGACTGATTATTTACGCAGTCTTTGAGCATCTCGTGGCCTAGATCTGTGGCTGTGAACCCTTCTCCGGGTCGACTTCAAATGTATCTACTTTTACAACTGCGCTCTGACAGCTTCTGGGCCTTGTCGGATTAAAATATCATTCTACCAGTTATATACCCCGAGTCTCTCCAAGTGCTAGCTTCATCCTCCTACTATTTATATATTGGAAGTTTCATGTAGCCGATGGTCAAATAGGAGCGGTTTTTTTTTTCGGGGTCAAATGCATGCCCACTCTTTTCCCATCTTTCTGCTTCTGCCCATCCTAATTCTGCCCTTTACTGCTTCTTCCCCCACTCAACCACAGAATAGACACATCAAAGTGCAACAGGACCTTCAATATATTATTGAGTATAACTGACCGCTTAAAAAGAATTTCTAACGATTAGTCTATATCGAGGATATCTCTATTAAGAGAGCAGATATTAATATTATTATCTCGGCTTTCTTAACGTCGCTATCGTATAGTATTATCTATACTATTAAATATATATAATATAATATTAAATTTCTTAAACTTATATATTATTCGAAATCTTAACTAAATTAAATCTCTTAATCGATAGATTCTTTATATTTAAGTTATACGAAATCTTATAAATAGTATAATTAAAGTTTTTAAATAGTAGATTAATAAATAATAAATATAAGACTTTCTAAGCTCGAGTTAGCTTATATCTCGATATATCGAATTTCTATATATAATTTCTATTATATTAAAAGACTATCGCTTATAATTAATCGATTAATAAGTATAATATATTTTATTTCTATAAATAATTAATATAACGTTTAAATAATATAATCGCGCTAGCTAATCTATTTTTTAATTAAATTAAATTTTCTTCTAATAAACTATTATACTTTTACTTTTACTAATTAAGATATTTTCTATCTTTCTTATTAGTTTAATAACGTTCTTAAAAGTACGAATATATCTTTAAACTATCTATTCTACTTTTAAATCTCTATATCTTATCTTTCTTATACTCTTATACTTTAATTTTAGATTACCCCTCTAAGTCTATTTTTAAAACCCTCTTAAAATAAAGTTTTAATTTTAGTCTTATCTCTTACGCTTCGATTCTAATATTAAAAGAGTAAAGATATTCTTAAATTTTCTATATTTATCTCTAAAAGTTTATATATTCTAAGATAGTATATTAACTTAAAGATTATATAAACTTCGAGAATAAGTAAGCTTTAAATATCTATAAATTCGAAGACTATATAATTTAAAGATATATAAATTTAAATACTATTATAGAATTAGAATATATAAAATTAGAAAGTTTACTTATTATATTTAGAAATTTAATATTATTTTATTACTCTAGATAATATAGTAAGATATAATAAAAAATATATCTTCGAAGAATATATATTCTTTAAATTAATATATTATTTTATAACATAGTCTTATAAAGACGAATTTAGAAAATTATAAAATATTTCTACTCTATTAATATTAGAGCTTTTTGAGTTAAAGTCTTAAAATAGATAAATTATAGAATAATTACTTTAATAGATATAATAAATTTATAAAATTAGATAAATAATAATTAGTTTAAAACTCTATAAGATATATTAATTTTATTAGATATATAGACTTTATAAACGATTATCGTATAATTCTTAAAATATATTATATTATTAAATATAACTATTATATATTCAAGATAAAGAAAAGAATAGAATTTATAGAATCGAAAAGAATAACGATAGTTAAAGTATCGCTATAATAAATATTTATTACTAAAATTATAGAGTCGCTTCTTTAAAGATAAATTAATATTATCGAGATAATAAAGATATTAATAGAGTTTATATCTTATAGAAAAGAGATAGAAGATTAAGAAGTTTAACTTAAACTTAGATTTAACGGCGTTTAAGAAATATTTTATATTATTAAAATTACTTTTTCTCGCCTAAATTCTTTATATTTGACGGGCTTTATAAAATACTCTTTTCTATTAAATATATAGCGATACTATATTATCGATAATAAAGATATACTAATTTATATTATACTCGATATTACGAGTTAATAGCGAGTTAAAGAAAACTTTAATAATATATAATTATTTTATAAACGCGTATTAAATACGCTTTAAGATATAAAGAATAGAATTAAGTAATTATATATCTCTCTTAAATTACACTTATATATCTTATATTAAAATAATAACGTTATATTCTTTTTAGATCTACTTTATAAGTTTCTACTCTTATACTTTAATCTTTTAATTTATAATTTAATTTATCTCTTTATATTAATTATAGATAACTTATCTCTTTATATAATAGATAAATATAAATTAATATTAAATACGCTAAAATAGCTCGTTTCGATAACCGCGAAGCTTCTAAATTTCTTTCTTCTAGCGAATACTTATACTCTATATCTTAATTAACTCTTTAAATTATTAAAGATTAATTTATTAACTTATCTATTTAATCGCTTAGATTAACTTCGTTTAAGATATTATATTCTTATATGTATTCTAGATATTATATCGAATTATATAAAAAAGAAAATTACGCTAGAAGATAGCTAAATTAATATAATTTATAATTAAATTATAGACGATCTTATTAAAATTAGAATTATCTAATAAATAATTATATTAACTTAAACTTTATAAGATTAAAAACCTTCGAGCTTACTATTAATAATATTTTCTATTACTCGTCGAAGATAATAGATTATAAAGATCTATACGAAGTTAATCTCTTCTTCTAATTATTTAATCTACTCGTAATATTTATTATAGAAAAGCGTTATATTGATTACGATAGTATAGTCTCTAAAGATTTATATAAATATAAGTTTAGGCCTATGAATTAAATTCATAAAAAATAATTAATTTTTTTTTTCTGATATCGAGATTAAATTCGACTCTCGAAGAGTGAAAATACTTTAATTTAAGATTTACTTAGAACTATAAGATCGAATTTTAAATAACTTAAATTATTTGAAAACGAAGGCGTAAGTTAAGTTCTATAATTTAAAAAAATAATAATAAATTTTTAATAGAAAAAAGAGAAGTTATATTAATAATAGATTTCTAGAAAGTTAATTAATTATAAATTTATTTTAATTTAATTAATAAGAAGTTAATTTTAATATCTATTATAGTCTTTTCATTTTAATTACTATTATTATTATTTTTATAATTTCTAAATCT